CTATACATCAGCAAATTTGAAGAAATATGTATTCATCAAGCCCTGCGGTCATGGTCACAACGGACCTTTGGCAAATATGCACCCACCAACAGCTCTGTCAAGAGAACTACTATATTATAAGCACTGTTTGTAACCAGTCTTATGCATCAGGAAGTAGAGAGGTGTTCCTGTATGTCTGAGTCAGTGCAGAAATATCATCGACTGAGAAGTGTTTGGGATCTTTCAGCACTGAACAATGTGATCTTAGGGATCAAAGATATATATATAAGTAGTTATAAGCTATTACCTATGTGTACATGGATGACAGAGGCTTGTTGATTCCCGACAATCGACCACACAAAACATAAACCCAGGCAGAAGAGGAGCCGCCACAAATTGCCTTATCAAGGTGGTCCTCTCTCTTATGTGATGCTTTCGGGGTCCTGTTCACTTTAGGGGGTTGCCGTCGCGCGTTTTCTGGCCGTTGGCCCCTTGATCCACGGCAGCGCTGATGCCACGAGGCACGGTGCTGGCAGCTCCAGAGTGTGCTGTGGGTGTGGCAGAACCGTCTGGGGTGCCTCTCGGTGTGACCGCATCTTCATCAGCCTTGCTTGGGATTGCCTCGGGATTCCTCTCAGGGGTGAACAGACAAGATGCAGATTCGAGCTGGACATCCTGACCAGCGGTAGTGTCCGTGAGGGATGGAGAACCCAGTGGGTGCATATTTGATGGTGCGGCGTATGATAAATCTTCGCAGTGCAGTTGTGCGCGCTCTGCAGCTGGCATACGATGCAGGGATAAATGAGGATAATAGATCTGACCTCCATAGACAAACTGCCGTGTGTTTAGAGATGTACCAGCAGTCTGAGACCAGGATGGTGGAGATATGAGGGGTGGATGATGTACGTGCAATGTCAGCCCAGTGTTTTGAGGCACGGAATGACTGCCCTGAGGCATGGTGGACTCATCAGCATGGACAGAGCGTGACTGGAACACCGTAGACATATTGCTGCCTGCAACCGCAAAGAGGCGATGTTCACCTGGCTGCGGTGCAGAGCCATAACCAGCAGGAGCGTGTCCATTCCCTCTCTCTTGCCCTGCAGACAACTCGGCGTGCTCGCCGCTCCAACCAAACCGTTGACGTACTCCCGTGCCAATTTGCCGCCCGACTCTCCCTTCCTCGGCTGCTTCAAGGCTGAAAGAGTCCGAGATGTGACTGGAGAAGTGTTGATCAGGCTCTGACGAGGGCAGCAGCTGATCATCGTCACTACTGTCTGCATCCGAGAAGCCTGCATCTTGCACCCAAGGTGTGGGCATTGTAGTGAGCATCCTAGAGTCGGCATGGGTGGTACCACTGCCACCAGATGGTGCAATAACGGGTATGTGTCCACATGACACCTGGCCGGCCTCGTTGAGAACGTTTATGGCTGGTACATTGCGCAGGTTCTGTTGAAATGTGTTAGTTCACATGTATACATAGTCACATAACAACACAGCAAGACATGTTCCAATGATACACCCAGGACTGATACTTTCAGACAGCAGGTCCGACCTGACGCGTTCAGATGACGCGTCCGGGATGGACACATCAAGAGGACGGGTTGGACGCGTCGAAAGGACACATCCAGGTTGGACGCGTCGAGAGGACACGCTCATATGATGCGTCGAGAGGACACGCTCATATAACATGTCCAGAACTGACACATTGGGAGAGACTCACCCTTTCATTGGGGGGCAAACGTGACATGCTGGCACAGCTGAGAGACGTTGAGGATACAAGTTGGTATGGTTTTTGAGCTATGGAAGTCGATAGTATGTAGAGAACCAAGTATAATGTGGGATGCCAGGAAATCTGAAGGTGTATAGTCTTATAAGAGATCGCGGGTCCACCGCAGATGTCAAATAAGGATACCACACAACTCTTACTAACTGGGATGCTCTCCAGAGCAAAGCCGGAGGTGATTGCAGCCATCTGGATCACATTTACTTGAAGTCGCTGATCATCTGTCATTGCGCCGATCCTCCAGCGAACATCTGCAGAGGTGCGCGACGCGATATGTGGTTCAGGCCGCGGCCAATCAGAAGATGAATAGCAATAATCACTGTAATGGATGGTGCATCCTACTCTGAAGGTGAGGCAACGGACACAGGGATATAGCACAAATCACTCACCAAGGAACCCCCCAGACGACGAGCTAAGTGCATCAAACATCTGGGGACTGTAGATGTTGCTAGGCAAGCTGGGCAGAAAAGGATGTCCAATCATACAAGATTCCCTGGGGCACTCAAGGCATCTTTGCCTCCTACCACATAGTCATCAGCAGAGAACATGGGACGGCGCGCAACGTACCTCACTCAGCACGAACGTAACCGGTAACCGAGGGCATTCTGCCAACGTGGCTCGTTACGCAGTAACTCCGAAGTCCGTCCATATCCCACCCAATTCATAATTGCATGTCTACTCACGTTGTCTTTGCTCGATGTATTTGATAAGAGGGAGAACTATGCATCGAGAGGCGCGCGCCAGGAAGTATATCAAGCAGCATGGCCGATGACAACTGCACCATGGCAATATCCCAACTGCATTGCCCCCCGAGCTCTGTTCCCTCACGGAGCGATATATTGTCTCCTCAACGCTTTTCAAAGAGGCCCTCAAAGGGCCGGACTTCATTGATGAATCCGACCTCCCTCCTTGGGACTCCCTTCCTCCCTATCCTGTCGAATCTGAGGACTCGCTGTCTGAGAGACAATCTACAGACAACCTAGTGCAGGTCATGCACGGTCGGCGTCTGCGCCTGCTCAAAGCAGAAATGGAACGGTGGCATGATACTCTCACAACGACAGATGCCCGGACAACATCTTGGAAGACGGCACTACAGGAGTTAAATAGAGAGATGCAAAGCTTGCTCCGGGAGTTTCATATAATATCCGTCGCAGTCAGGAGCTGTGCTTGTTGTACCTCTCGAGAGGATCGAATGGCCCGCCACATTCAAGGCTGGCACGCCCGACGCATATGCTGTATGCATGAAATAGTTCAGTTATGCTCGCTTAGCATATCTCATTATCGGGGTCAACATCAATTAGGTCTCTTGAAATGGCAACGCTCAGATACATATGTCATATAGACACAACATTGAATATACTTTTCACTATATCTAAGCAAGCATCAGGACCATCGTCAACAAGAAACTACGAAAATGTGCAACGTCAGATTCATTCAATGAGATGGCATCAAAGCCTTGAAACACAGCCGTCATGCACGCCAAGGTCCAGATTCCGCAGTTGTATCCATTCTGCTGCACCGGAGAGAGCTAGGAAGTGATCAGCTTCTGTAGCCATGAACTGAGTGTGGTCATACTGTAACTGGGCGAGAAATCCATCCGCTACGCTCAATCATCATCGACGCTAAATCCACTAACCGCCATATCATCTTGAAGACATCCTGGATCATGAGATGTGGTCAGCGGCAGCACACAAACTTCAAACATGGTACCCACCGCAGAATCCTCATGCCAGGTCTCCTCATCTGCGAAGCTGTCAAAGTGAAGGATACACTGGAATGGGAGATGCACAATTGCAAGCGTCCAGTGGCCCAGACCTCCATTCATCCCAGGACGAAAGATAGGGATGAGCCAAACCTCCCGCTCCCAATAATGACAGTGGCGTACATGTCGCCAGAGCACATCCGACGTCACACCATCCCTTATGAGGGGTAGATGGAAGCTAGAGAATACCGCCAAACGCCGACGGCAGTCACCCTGGGCAAACTGCGAAAAGAGCACCGCGGCACAGCCATTGATGCACTCATCATTGATCGGCACTGGTGCATTGAGCAGCTGCAGGTCAGCGGGCTGGAAGATGATGCGACCGAAGATGTCGCATGGCGGTCATATCCGGCCTCGGTTGATGGTGCGCGTGTTAGGGGGTAGGTACGTCCTTAGTTCAGGGAACGTGTCCATTCGCATATTGACCTACGATACCTGAGACCGCGCATCACGGGAGGGGACTCAGCCACATACCAGGGGTTCCCAGAGCATCACCAGACCAGGTGACGATGGGTAACTATGATTCTCGTTGTCTCCGCCATCATCTCTGCTATCATCCTCATCATCATCTTTGGCCAGTATGTCTGTCAAAAGGCACTCAGAAGGGTCAGCGGGAGCATCAAGACCTGTCATGAGCAGCACAGTCATTTTCGAAAACAGTAACCTCCATAGCCTGCAGATCGGATTCAGTCAATATAACCTTCGGCGGCATCCACTTCACCCCTATCCCAGACGGAGCGCCCGCGAGGCGCGCCGCAAGCTCGACCGAGGCCTTCAAATGGTGGTCAGTGACTGTCGAGGATATCAGCGGGTTCGCCCATCGTTGCCGTAGTAATTGGATAAGTTCAAGGCGATGCTGCAGCTCTGGCAGATATGGAAATGCTACTCAATGTGCATCAGCCAGCTAGCGTTACGAACACCAATCACAGTGACATACCATCGGCACTCCGCATTGCAAGCTCAAGCGCGGCAAGCTCCCTGCCGAACCATTGACACATATTATCCGCCTCCATACCCAGGCGTTGGCATTCTTCCAGGCATTGAGCCTTCTTGAGCATCGCACGGATGCCTCGGCGCACATTACTCTCAGTAAGCCACCGAGGTGTCAGTACATCGGATGAACCAGGCTCCAGACAAACGTCCTGGAAGAGTGCTTGATCCTCTCGCAGTACACCTAGATCTGTAGAGAGTTTTGAAGGAACAGGGATACACCATTCGGGCTTGTGAAGACTCTCCAGAACATCGCAATACTTGTTAAACCTTCTGATAGCAGATAGAAGTGCGGGGCGACGTTTGGACATGGTTTGGCGCGTCCTCTGATGGAGTTTTGTACCTACGTATTTTCAGCATGAACAGCGAGGTAGACAGGAATGGAAAACAACGCGCCGAGTGGATTATCCTTGCCTCCAACTGCCTGGTCCAGTCTGTCCCAGTCTAAGAAGTTCGCGACTGCACGCTTGCGGATGTTGATCTTCAAATCACGAGCAAAAATGATCGTACGGATGAAGTCGTAACTGACACCTTGAAGGTGCGGAAAGGATTCTTGAATGTTGAGGGATATGTAGAGCTGCTCCGCGCGCGACACGAGCTTGCAATGGGCATCCTTGAGCTTCTGCAAAACGTGCATGGACGCTGGCGGTGCGGCGGCCTTTACAAGATGGCCTTGCACGGAGGCAATAGCCTTTTCAACACTGTCGATCTCGGCTTGCAACGTCAGGACCACATCGACCTCCTTTTTGAGCCGCGCCGGGGCATCTGTGAAGAGTTAAATGGTAGATAACTTTGCATCGAAAGGGACCTACGGGCTCGGATTGACAACTGCGTGGCACGCTGCAGCTCCCATTGCAAGCGCAGCTCCTCAAGAGCCACTCCACAGGCCTCCAACTCTTCTTCGGCTTCGCGGCCCTGACATTGTACACCACGCACTATACGGCGCTTGATGTAATCGCCTAGGTCCTCTCGCAGCTCATCGCCGATGGCAGCTGCTTGCCGATCCACCAGCCATATGCGCCTGGAATGCTGTGCATTAGACCATCAGCTACTAGTCGATTTCAGAATGACGAGAACATTACCGCTGAGGTCCGGGTTATCGGGATGAGCTTTCGGGACTTCGACCAAAATCTTTCAGTACCTTCACCATCCGTCAACCCGAGTCCCTCTGTCATTCGTGGATTGTAGATAAGCCGACATGCCCACTCATGGCCATAGGCGTGCATCACTGAGGTGGACCAGTGGAGACGCGACACCATCTGTTCTGGGAGGAGCTTATGCTATGTATGTGTAAGCATGACACCCGATCTACATATGACAGTTTAGAACACATACCAAGTTGATACTGCGGTCGACAACACAACCTATGTCATACAGGACACGAATGGTTGCATTCGCTGGTAGCCAAGAGAAAAGATGATACACAAGCGCGAGGGCATACTTCTGCTGCTCGCCGGCTGTGTCGATGTTAGCCAGCAAGAGCGGTATATCATGGCGGCATACAGCCGCCATAACACCAGTATCGTCAAAGATATCTGCGTTCGATTTCGTCTTGTGTTCATCTGCGGCCTCGTGCCCATGCGCGCAGCTGTCTACAGCTTCATCCGGAACCTTTGCAACATAGGTCTTGCTGGGCGGCCGCCTCCTCTGTGCGTCGATGTGGGTGCCCATGTCATCTACCTGCATCTTTGAAAGGAAATATTCAGGTTTGTAGAATGCAGGGCTATCGCCTGCACTTCGGAGATGTCGCTGGCTGAAATTGCCATCAACGCAAATCTGAATGTCACAGCCTCTATTGTAAACATTAGCAGCGGGATTACCAGATGTTATTCAACCTTACTCCGATAACGAACGGCCAAACTTTACCCCTCCAAAGCAAGCGGGACAGCGCTGCTGCAGAATGCTAGCGCATTCCCCTTCATCTCCGTCTCCCTCGGATGATTGACCTTGAATATGCTGGCGAACATGGCTCCTCGCTGCATCCACAACACGCTCAACATCCCGATTCGCGCGGCCTTGCAGCGTGTCATACCACTGAATGGCATACCCTAGGGCACGGCGGAAGGGATCCCGGACAGGATCACCCTAATGAAAGGATGGTCAGAGCACGAAGGATCTGGAGAACTCCATATACCTTTTGGTCCAGGATGTGCCATCCCCAATGCGCGTAGAACGTACGCATCGCAGCTGCGAGGGCAGTCACGGCATCCCCAGACCGCTCAAAGAGAGAGAAGTAAAAGTCGAGGAGATCCACAGAAACCGCCATCCGCGGCTGAGTAGGGGATGTCGGGAAGAGGCCTATAGAGACGAGCGCCTGGGGCAGGGATGTACACGAACAATAAACAATGTCTCGATTCTCGAAATCTACATGAAGGCATATGATCACGCGCTGCATATATAAACACGCAGAGTATGCACAGTCCCAGAACAAGCAGAGGATATGGCTGCTTTGCCTGTAGCAAGCCTCGCTGGCACAACCGTTCGTCGGGTGATGAGAGGAAACCGGTTGCCCACGCGTAGCCTCCCGGTACACCCTGAGTGATGGAACCAACCCAGGGAGAAGGTCCAGCCATCGCTGGTACAACTTGCGGCTCTCGTCGTCCGGTAATATCCGCTTTGGCAGAGTCTTGGGTGATGTAGGCACCGGCTGCGCAACATTGTCTCCCTCGCCATCTCGGTCCTGCATGTCAACGTCTACCCAGTCCCCTACATCACCTTGCGCCTCCACTTGTGGTTCCGCGAGCTGAGACGTGGTTGCAGAGCATTCCTCTGCAGCCCTTAGATGGGCGAGATCGGCGAGCAGGGCCTTCTCCCGCTGGTGCCGACCAGAAGATACAACGCGCTCCTTGTCCCTCTTTGCAGGACGCCTCCGCCGGGGACTGGTGAAGTGTGGGCCGATAGCGTGAACATAAGGTAAAGCTTGTCGAGACATACCGTGGGCTGGAATGCCAAGCACAACGACGGGAAGGGGGGGACCAGCGAACCCCCCCCCCCTGCCCATACCGAACAAACTGTTGATGGCCAGATGACGCGATGTATCAGGGAGGCACCGGAGAGGGAGCGCGGAGGCGGGAGTGGAGAGGGATCGATGCGATCGTCAGATGAGTGCGGGAGGCTGCCTTACACGTCGCCCGAGCACTGCGGGAGGCCCCGCAGATATGGCTGGAACAGTACTAAATTAGGCAGTATCTATATTTGTATTCAATAGGGAGCATCGGCCCAGATGCCGTCTGTCTAGCCCAATACTTCCTACACATTTTTAGACTACCTAGGTTATGATGTCATCAAATCGGTCCTGCCTAA